CACTGCACTCCAGCCTGGATGACAGAGTGAGACTCCAACTCAAAAAAAAAAAAAAGCCAAATTCATTTTGATGAACCCTGAAACAGATTGAATCACTCAACATATCAGTTATAATTTAACATAGCAGCTTTCTCTATCCTGTGTTCCAGGGATGGCCGGGAAGTTGCTGTGGTTTACTTCCGGGATGGCTACATGCCGAGCCAGTATAGTGTACAGGTTGGTATTTTCTGTTAGACCATTCTTTGCCTCCTGAGACTCAACAGAGCTCCATGGAGACCCAGCTCAGGTGTCACAACAACCTGGGTTTTTCCCTGAGACCTAGCTTCAGTTCTTCAAGAAGCTTGCTGCTAGAACTTCCTATCCTCCCACAAGCTTTTTGCTGTCTCAAATAAACTGTCTTCTAGAATCTGAATCCCCAGGAATCCACAGTGCTTAAAGCTCTCACACTGTTTCCAGGGATATACTGGTAAATGTTTAACAACCATATTTCTGGGGGGGAAACGCTCAAGTTTATAGCATTTGCTGATTTCTATAGTGTAAATACTACCACGGCCAGTTTCCAGTAAACTATCCAACTTGACATCTCTGAAATTAGAGTTGGGAAGAGATGGTTATAATCAGTTCTCACTAGTTGATGCCCACCACTTTCAGCATACTGCTTGCTGTTTACTTTCTGCCAACTCTTATTTCTCCTTTATCTGAATCAGAAAGTTTTTATCATCTGTTCATTCATGTTAACGCCGGTAATATCACCTCATCTTGCTATCCTACCATGTAGTTTCAAAGTTACTTTCTACATTCCTTATTTCATTTAATCCTTACAACCACCCTTTGAGGCATATAATTATCCCTATTATACAGATACAGAAACTAAGGTTTAGAGAGATTTGGAGGCTGGTTGAAGGTCCCACAGGAAGTTCTCGGGGTTTCTGACTCTCAGGCCAATGGTATTCCCAATATACCATTCTTCTCCCCTGCTCCTAATGTCCACACCATGGAGAGATTAAGAAGCACTGCTTTAGTTGGGAGAAGGTAAAGGAAGAAATAAGTTAGGAAAAACTGTGGGCAGTAGGCTGGAGGTCATGAACCTGACTCTGCCTCTATGTGACCGTGGGCAGGTTCTTGACCGTTTCTGGCTCTCAGTTTCTGGGAGCTGAGAGAGCTACACTGGAAGATTGGGAGCTTCTTTTGGGTCTGTAATTCATCTAGGATTCCCCCCAGGACTGAGCTCTATGGGGACAGCTCTACAGAAGTGGCAGCTCTATGGAACATTTTTTTCCTCTAGAGACGTAGTTAGCAGTGGTGGGAACTTGCTGGTTAGTGAAAGAGAAATTGTCTATTGGGAAAATGGATCTAGGTTTCAAGACAGGTTAGAAAACTCAAAGAGAGAAGAGGTTGAGCTAACAAGGAAGGAAAGTAATACATAAAGAGGTAGACATTTTTAGACAGTTCTGCTAAAGCTCTACAAGACTTAGTGACTTGATAAGTGACCCTGAGCAAGCCCTGTTCATCTTTGGTTTTATTTTCTCTGCTTCTAACATAATGGAGTACTACTCTGGGTTTATCTCTGATGTTCTGGGCACCTGTGACTCTGCTTGGAACACCAGACTGGTAGTTAGGTAGCTGGGGTTATTGGTAAAGATCAGGTAAAGGTGCTGCAGGTGGACCATTTGTATCAAATCAAGAGCCTGCCCATGGGGTGGTGCCTATGGAGTGGGGAGGTGTTTTCTTCTCAAGCCTTGATCCTGCCAAGTGTAGTTTGCTGTGGTCTGAAGCCAAGGACAGAATGACCCCCATTGCCTGAGAATGGGAACCAGAGCTCAGAGACAGGATCCTCTGTTGTTTCCCTGCCTCTTATACCCTCAGCTCTTGGCACAACAGACCATTCATCCTGTGATCACCCACTTGCATGTCTTTGCTCATACTATTCGTTAGCCTGAGTACCCCTTCCCCACTGAGTCTCATCTGTGAGACTTTACCTGTCCTTCAAGATTCCACTAAAACTTCATCTTATTCAGCAACAGTAACATATTTATTAAACACTTACAAAGTACTAGGAACTATGTTAGACACTGAGGATACAACAAGGCAAACAACAAGATGTTCTGGTTGACAGAGTCGGCCAGGTACCCCATTGAGTCTAATCTCTTAGACTTTACCTGGTGAGAACTGGCCATAGCCTGCTCATCTTTCATTGAGCAACCTTGCAAATCCCTTTCACCTACATCCACCCTCTCTCTGGGGCTTTAGCACAAACCAGTTAGGGGTGGCAAGGGACTCAGTGATGGCCTGGTCCCTTTCTTCACTCTGGCAGGAGGCAGAAAGTAATTACCAAAGTTATTATTTTTTTAGTTGGAGTCTAACTCTGTCACCCAGGCTGGAGTGCAGTGGCATGCTCACGGCCACCCCAGTGTCGACCTGCTGGGCTCCTGCAATCCTTCTGTCTCAGCCTTCCGAGTAGCCAGAACTACAGGTGCACGCTACCACACCCAGCTAATTTTTGATTTATTGTAGAGACAAGGTCTCGCCAAGTTGCCCAGGCTGGTCTCGAATCTGCAGGAGTTCCACTCAGTCAATCTACTCGCCTCAGCCTCCCAAAATGTTGGGATTACAGGCTGAGCCACCGAACCTGGCCAGTTACCAAAGTTTAAAGCTAAACTGACAACAAGGAAACAAGGCAAGCCAGGCACTGTGGCTCACACCTGTAATCCTCGCACTTTGGGAGGCAGAGGCAAGAGGATTGCCTGAGTTCTGAGTTCAGGTGTTTGAGACCAGCCTGGGCAACTTGGCAAGACTTCATCTCTACAATAAATTAAAAAATGAGCTGGGCATGGTTCCAGCTACTTAGAAGGCTGAGGTGAAAGGATTGCCTGAGCCCAGCAGGTCAAGACTGCGGTGGTGGTGAATGTGCCACTGCACTCCAGCCTGGGTGACAGAATGAAACTCCAACTCAAAAAAAAAAAAAAAAAAAAGGAAACAAGGAAAACAACAAAGAATCCTGTCCTTGTGGAGCTTACAGTCTGGTCAGGGAGATGAGCATCAAAAGGTAAACAAAGATAGAAAAAAAAAGGTTTTTTTTTTAGTTCCAGTTGACTGCTTTGCATGAAACAACAGGATGAAAAGATAGAGAATTATGGGAAGCTCATATTAAATAGAGTGGTTGGGGTGGACTTCTCTGAAAAGGTGACTTCGAGCTAAGATTTAAGAATGAGAAGGTTACAACTGTGCTTGGGAAAAACCAAAAGGAAGGGAATTTCAGGCTGAGAAAAAGAAGTAAAGACCTTAAGGAGAGATTGAGGTTTGTGATTTGAGGAATGACAGGCCTGTGTGGCTACAATGTGGGAGCTGGGATGAAGGTGGCATGGTACAAGGTTGAAAAAGTAGACAGGAGCCAGATCCTGCAGGGTCTTGTAGGCCACAGTAAGGAGGTTGGATTTTATTTGGAATACAGTAGGAAGGTGGGCTCTTAAACAAGTGTTCTACTTCCTTCAAATCTACTCATCCGTTATCTACTCCCTTACACATTTTGTCATTTATCCCTTTTAATTATGTTTCATTATGCTAGACTGTGAACTACCTCCTGCCAAAGGCATGAATCCTGCACATCAGGAAGGGTCACATCTGCCTCACACAGATGTTGCAAGGATTCTGGGTGATAATGAATGTGAAAATATAAAGTACATTTACCTGATACCTGATGGATGCTTGGTAAACATCAGCCAAAATGAAAATAGAATTCCTTTTGTCTTCTTTCCTCTGCAGAACTGGGAAGCACGCCTGCTGCTAGAGAGATCCTGTGCTGTCAAGTGCCCAGACATTGCCACCCAGTTGGCTGGAACTAAGAAGGTGCAGCAGGAGCTGAGCAGGGTGGGCATGCTGGAGATGTTGCTTCCTGGTCAGCCTGAGGCTGTGGCCCGCCTCCGTGCCACATTTGCGGGCCTCTACTCACTAGACATGGTATGTGGTCAGCTCATTTCTCCTACCACACTTCTCCTAGGTAGCAGAAACCTGGAGCTCAATGTGTTGGAGCTAGCATTGTCTCTGGCATTCTGACTTGGGTTGGGGATGCTCTGGAGAACCTCTAGACCCCTGGGGAGAGGAAACAGTCTCATAATGGGAGGATAAGGACTGGAATCCATTATAAGCTCCCTCAGCAAAGATAGAGATGAAGACGGCAGCCAGAGGAAGGAACTAAAGCAGATAGTAAGAATTGAGGAATATTTGTATCTGCTTTCCAAGCTGCCTACTGCAGAGCTCTGAGCCAGAGAAAGCCCTGTTCTCATTGCATTTGCTGCTGCAAAGGATTTGTTGGGGGTTTCATCTAGGTAGTAGCATCCAGCCTTAAGGAACTTATGACTGTTCCCCTACCTGCTCTTCCTCTGTTGCTGCTCTGCACAATCAGCAAGACCTCAGCTTTTGTCTCTTTAGCCTTAAAACTCTGGTATCTGCTTTCTGCCTCTTGCCAGGGTGAAGAAGGGGACCAGGCCATCACCAAGGCCCTTGCCGCCCCTAGCCGGTTTGTGCTAAAGCCCCAGAGAGAGGGTGGAGGTAGGTGGATACATCTTTGCAGCGTTGCTCAATGAAAAGGGCTAGCAGGCTGTGGCCAGTACTTACCAGCACTTCCTATGGGCATTGTCCCAGGTATGGGAGGTACTAGAGGAATTGACACAGGTCACACCTTGGACAATGTTGCTGGAGACCATGTGACCAAATGACATGGAGCACAGAGGAATCTGATTGACCAGCACTGAAGTTTGGACAAGTTTAGCCTGAGGTGCCTGTGGGTAGATTGTAGGGAAGCAAGATGAGGTCATATTAAGAGACTCATGGAGAAAACACATGTTTTATTTCCTGCCTAGTTTGAAACTCCTTAAAGGCAGGGATCATGTGTGCCTCACAGACCCAGAGGAGATTTTTTTTTTAAATCTTGGTTTTAAGGGGTGGATAGGAGTTTCGTAGGTGAATAGGGAAAGAGTGCTCTAAACAGAAGGAACAACCTCAAGCAAAGGCACTGGACCTTGCAAGCATTATATATTTGGAGATTAATGAGAAACTGGTGAGGTTGGAGTAGGAGATGGGAGAAGGTATGGATTTGGGCTGGAAAAGATGGTTTGGGTCCTGATTATTAAGAGCATTAAATATACGTGAAGAAATTGGATTTTAACCTAAGGTAGTGGGAAGTCATTAGAGAGTTTTAAGGAGGGATACATGATTGATCCAGGAGTCAAGTGACTAGCAGTGTTGAGAACTTGCAAAACTTACAGTGTTTCAGCCTTTGTAGAAGATATCCTGGAATGAGGGGAGACGTAGGTGGCAGAGAGACCATGAAGGAGGCTGGTACAGTTATCCAGAAGAATAATGTAGAGACCTGAGCTAGGGCTATGCCCGTGAAGCACAGACTGGAGACATGTCCAAGTTAGTGACAAAGATAATGGAGAAGAAGTAAAATATGACACAGGAATGCCTTTTGCCTGATTGGGAATGGGAAGATCTAGGAGGGGCAGACTCAGACATAAGTAATGAGTTCTGTTTGGACAAGTTGAGTTTGTTTCGGGATCGTATGGGACATTCATATGATATCAAGAGCAGAGAGCTTAAGCTAAAGACTTGGGAGCTAACAATATGTAAGGTATAGATGGAGCCTTGAGAATGGAAGAAATCTCCCTTAGAAAAGGTACATGAAGAAGAGAACAAGGGTGGAGGACCGATTTCTAGGGAACTCCAACATTTGAGAGGAGAAGCCAGTAATGGAGGCTGAGATGGAACAGCTGTAGACAGGAAGAGAACAAGGGCAGGACAGTGGTGGAAGGTGGGTTCACTTGCATGAGTAAGGGCTCTCCTGGGGAGTCAGATATGTCCTGGCTTCACTAAGCTGATGTCAGGAACTGAGGCTGCTGACTTGCCCACCTGGGGCGTGGGATGGAAGAGGTAGGCAGTGGGTCCAGGGTGGCTGACTGGCCAGTTTAATTGCAGGTAACAACCTGTATGGGGAGGAAATGGTACAGGCCCTGGAGCGGCTGAAGGACAGTGAGGAGAGGGCCTCCTACATCCTCATGGAGAAGATTGAACCTGAGCCTTTTGGGAATTGCCTCCTACGGCCTGGCAGCCCTGTCCGAGTGGTCCAGTGCATCTCTGAGCTGGGCATCTTTGGAGTCTATGTCAGGTGAGCCAGTCAGGAGGAGCTCCTTCCACTACCTCCCTGCAAGAGTGCTAGCCAAGTGAGCCTAGAGGGAACACTGGACAGAGTCGGGAATGGTGGGCTTCAGTCCTAGCTCTGCCAGTCCCTAGCTTTGTACCTGTTTCCTTATATATTGAATGAAGCCAAGGACCCAAGGCCTGCCCATCTCACTGGACTATCAAATGAAGCCCAGATAAAAAGTGTTTTTGCAACTATAAAGAAAATTCCAAGTTGTACCAGGAGGATTCAGAAAATATGATATGACAATCCAGGCCTAGAAGGAAACTCCAGAGAGGAAAAGAGACTCTAAAATCCTAGTACTTTCTTGGGTGTAGTCAGTTACCCATTCAGTGGAGACCAGGGAAGGTCTTGGGGTTGGGCTGAGTCCAGATGATGGGTTTGTTTCCTGCCTCATTTCTATAGACAGGAAAGGACACTTGTGATGAACAAACATGTGGGGCATCTACTTCGAACCAAAGCCATTGAGGATGCAGATGGTGGTGTGGCAGCAGGAGTAGCCGTCCTGGACAACCCGTACCCTGTGTGAGGGCACAGCCAGGCCAGCCCGGACTTCACTCAAGAGACCTTCTATACCCTGTACTTGTCATTCCTCTGCTAGCCCTCCTGAGGGGCTGCTCTCCTAAAGACTTCCAAGTACTTCATGAAAGGGTAAATGCTGATACCTTCCCCTAGCTCTCCATCTGAGGACCAGAAAAGCCGTGTTTCCCTTAAATGAGATCTCAAAGCCCCCAAATTTCTGGGGTATGGGTACAGCTGAGGAGATGCTGCTCTAAGATAAAGGTCCATAAACCCTGCCCTCCTCCTATCAACCCTCATCAGCCTTTTCAGCAGCTCCCAGTGCCTGACTTGGGACAGGACTAAGCTGTAGGAGGAGGGGAGTGTAGGGCTATAGTCTTTCCCCAACTCTGCCTTAAATAAAACTGCATTGCTGAGTCGGTGATTCCTTGCTTTGTGCACAGAGGAGAGTGGGGAGCTGTAATCTAAGTCAGCCCACTTAAGATTGGAGCAGGGAAGGTGACTGAGCTTGTAACCTGGGTGTCCTTAGACCTAGATCCTATGGGTGGGACCCTGAAGTTCCAATTCTTAGTTACTCACTAATGCTTCCACTAGATCATAGGGAGGAAAGTCCCTGGCAGGAGCCCAGGAGGGAAGACAACCGTAATGGGACATCAGAGTTGTGAACTAGCTTCAGTCACTTTCCTGCTTAGCTCAGGGGCTTGTCATTGGGCCTATGAGTGAAGCCTGGCATAGCTCTGCCCAATCTAAAAAGGAAGATATTTGGGTAGTCCTAGGAAATACCACTCCCCTTCCCATCTGCCACACAAATCAGAGCAGCTAATGAGTATATAGCCTTAGTACCCAGATACCTAAGTAAACAAATCACCACCTTCTTGAGGTCACAGACTTTATTCCCACAACCAGAGGGCTTGAGCATAACTGGGACAAGAAAAGAGTGTCTCGTGGGCAGGACTTTGTTCGGGGAGGGTAGGAACAGAGGATAAGGAAGACAAGCTCTTCTGATCCTAGAAACAAGACACATTACTCCTTGAAAGAAGAAAAGCTGAAAACCCGCTGGAGACTGAACCTGCCCACCGAACCCTTGGAGCAAATGAGCAGAAAGTACTGCCATCTGGCACAAAAGAGAATTCAGACTCAGAAGAGAAGCAGCAAAATCTTTAAAAAATAATAATCAATTGCTCCTGGACTCACAAACCGTTGTTTCTAAAGGCAAGAGCATGCCCAATATAAGTACAGGTGCTTTCTGAGAGAGCTGACATAGGATTACACAGCTGTTCTAGGCTCTCACATGCCCTCAGAACACTTAACCTGGGTTGAAGAGGTAGCCTTTACATCCCTGTTTTAGGCTCTGAGTGCTCTTTGCTGTCTGGGGCACAGCAGTCTGAGAATGACCTGGGTCCTTTCCCTTCTGCCTGGCAGTCCCAGGAATTTGTCTCCTCCCAAAGACAAAGTTGGTTTCCAGTCCCAGATAGCTGGTCAAGAGAGGTGTAGTGTGGGTCAGCACTGGCCCTCAGCACTCCTGAGGAGGGGAGCAGAAAGGATAGGCAAAATTTTGGAGAGCCAAGCAAGGGCAGGATAGGGTCTTGTTCACTGGATGGTCAGGCAGCGGTGGCTGAAGAGGTGACTGATGACAGATGGGTCAGCCACAGTAGACGTGTCTCCCAGGTCATGGTCATTCTGAGCAATCTTCCGAAGCACTCGCCTCATGATTTTCCCTGGGAGACCACAGGCCTCTAGTTACTTGGTGACAGCACTGACCCACCCCAGCCCCATCAAGGGCTTTAATCCACACACACCAGGCCTCAGCCCATCCCAATCCCTGGAGGCCTCTGAGCATACCTGAGCGGGTTTTAGGCAAGCCAGGTGCATTCTGGATGTAGTCTGGTGTGGCAATGGGACCGATCTTTTCTCTAACTGTAACCAACAAATTTTAATCAAGCATTTCTTAAGCACCCTTAGACACACTGATTGGGCCCCACCCACAGATTCATTCTCAGGTTCACTGCTTCTTTCTTTCTGTCTCTCTACTCTTCTCCCTCCCCCCCACCTCGCTCCCCCTCTTGCTCTCACACGCTCTCTCCCTTTCTCTCTCCCTCTCTCTCTCTGAATACAATGTCAGTTTACTCTCCCATTTTATCTTAACCTACCTTCAAGGAACTCAGGCTCTAGAATCAGCCTGCTAGAGTTTAAATCCCACCTTTTTAGCAGGGTGACCTTAAGCACTTCTGAGTCTCAGTTTCTTTATCTTTAGGATGTGAGTAGCTATAGGATCTGTTTCACAAGGGTGTTTGTAGTGATTAAATGGGGTAATGCATTTAAAGCACTTAGCCCAGTGGTGGCACAGAGTAGTCTATAAATGTTGGCCATTATTATTATCCTAATGGAGAGAGACTAGCAGAGATAGAGAAAAAAGGGCAATAAGCCCATGGGGACCCCTGGGATCTGTTTGTGGTTTGGGGAGCGGCTCACTCCAGTCCCTTCCCAACAATTTGCAATGGTAACTAGCCCTCCAAGACAGACCCTGCAGTCCCTGCCCAGGGAGGCTCCTCACTCTGCTTCTTGAGCTCCTCGGTGAGTGTGGGGCTGAAGGTATGACCATCACACAGGGTGACAAAGCAGTAGAGACATTCACCCTTCACAGGATGAGGGTGACCCACCACAGCTGCCTCTGCAATAGCCTCATGTTCCACAAGTGCTGACTCCACCTCGGCTGTGCTCAGTAGGTGTCCTTGTCAAGGGAAAGGAAACGCCATGAGAAAGATCCCAACCTCTGTCCCAGCCCTTGCTCCATCTGTACTCACAGGACAGACCTGGTCTGGTCAAATGGAGAAGGCCCTTCATTCCTCACATGACATGCTTTCAGTTACCCCACCATCCCAGTTTCCCTCCTCTAGGCATATTCCAATGCTCATCACTCTTCCTTCAAAACCTGGGTCCAGAACTGAACTGAATACACAGTCTGACCAAAGCACACTTCTGGCTCTCTTGGGAGGCTTTGGCTGGGAGTTGCCAAAGGAATAAAGCTAATGGGATGGGAAGGTGATCCTTTGCCCTCACCAGATACATTGAGCATGTCATCAATCCTGCCAGTGATCCAGTAATAGCCATCCTGGTCCCGCCGGCAGCCTGAGAAGAAGTGCACAACATAACAAATACCCTATAGTAGGATACCCGATCCATATTACCAACCTGCCATACCCACTGCAACAGCCTTCTAACAAGTCTTCCTGCTTCCACTCTTGCCTACTCTGGTAGACAGCCTCCAGGATGGTCCTGCTGACCTCTACCTCTTAGTATGCATAGCCCTGCAGAGCCCTCTTTCTCATTGTTCTAAGATTAGTCTGCGTGATTAATAACATCTGGCAAAAGTAATGAGATTTCACTTCTGAGATTAGGTTATAGAAGACACCATAGCTTCTGTGTTGGTTGCATTCTCTCAGATCATTTAGTTGGGTAAGCCAACTGTCATGTCATGAGTAGTCCTATAGAGAGGTCCATGTGGTAAGGAACTGAGGGTTCATGCCAACAACCATATGAGTGAGCATGGATATAGGTCCTCTAGACTCAGCCAAACCTTCAGATGACTACAGCCCCTGCCAACAGCTTGACTGCAACCCCTAAGAGACCCTGAATGAGAATCACCCAGTAAAGTTGCTCACAGATTCCTGATACTCAGAAACTGTGTGAAATAATATTTGTTGTTTTAAGCTGCCAACTTTTGGGATAATTTGTCCCATGGCAATAGATACACCCACCTAAAGTCTATCCTAAAGTAAATCAGGAAAAGTTATTTTCTTAATAGTAAATCAGTTCTTATCAGTCCCCTGCTTAAAACCCCTAAAGGTCTCAGACCCACTATACTTTGAATAAAATTCAAACTCCTCACCATGACCCAGAAGACTCTATGTCACCTACCTCTCCAACTTCATATAATGTTCTTCCCTTTGCTTGTTGCATTCCAACCACACAGGCTTTAGTCACAGACATTTCAAGCTTGTGTCCCTCTACTTTGGATTTCCCTACTCTTACACTAGATTAATCCATGCCTGGTTCCTTCTCTCTCTTCAGGTCTGTGTTCAAATGTCACTTCAGAGGGGACATCTCTGACCATCCATGTACAACAGTCATCCCTGCAAACACCCTTTATCACATTGCCCTGTCTATTTTTCTTCATAGAAAATATGAAATCCTAAGATAATCATATTTACTTTGTTTGCTGGGTTTACTGTCTATCTCCTCTTACTAGAATGTAAGCCTCATAACAGCAGAGACTTTGACTACATTATTTATGGCAGTAGGTGCTCAAGTATTATGGATGAATGGATTGGTGGATGGACAGATGGACAAACAGGTTCCAAATGTTGGAACACACATGACATAATATACACTGTCACATACCCCATCTCTTTCAACACAAGAACAAGAAAGAGGAAGAACCTCTTTCCTCATACATCAAATCTCGGAGGACATCATCCTGAGACCCTTCCTGGAATATTTATTCCTGCTCTCACAGTCTTTGTAGCTCTGACTGGTTACCAGACACTGACATGTAGGACATGTTCTTCTTGTTCTTTATCCCTAACCAATTTTTCCTGAAAATGGAAGTGAAGTGGAAGTGGTCTTAGTTGGAGGTACAGGAAAGGCTCACCATCTCCTGTGATGTAGTAACCAGGGAACTTCTTAAAGTAGGTAGTCTCAAAGCGTTCATGGTTCCCATAGACTGTGCGCATAATCCCTGGCCAGGGCTGCTTGAACACCTGGAGCGTGAGGAAGGCACAGTGATTACATCTGCTGTGCTGTCTCACTGGAGGACAATCATACCTTTGCTAAGCTTGAGGGAAAGCTTCCCAAATGCCATTCCTGAGAGATAGGACAAAGTACAGGCTTTGGAGATAGATGATTCTGACTTGGAATCCCAACTCTGTGTCACTTAATAGCTAAGTAACCTCAGGGAAGTACCTTTATCTTTCTTAGTTTCAGGATCCTCATCTGTAAACCAGAGGAAAAAAAGTTCTGCCTTCCAAAGTTACTGGGAGGATTAAATTAATAGTATGTGGAAATTGCTTAACACAGTGTTCTATTAGTGATAAGCATTTAGTAAATTTGAGTCTCCTTTGGGTAATATCTCAGGAAAGCAAGTCCAGTTTGATGCAAACAAAAACAGTCATATAAAAAAAATGGGACCCACACACAAGTACATAATTATTGCCCAATCAATAACATTTTGTGACAGCAGATGGATGGAATGGGCAGAATTCTAGGCTGACAGTCAGAAAGCCCCTGCTACTAACTTTCTCTTGGGAAAGTGAAATAGGGTACAGTTGGGGAGGTTGGTGAGGTCCCTGCAAACACTAATACAACAATTACAACAGCTAACGTTTATCAAGTATTTAGGTTTTGTGCTAACCCCTTCAAATGCATTAACTAATTCAGTCAATCAAGCAGCCACAGAGACAAAGGTACTATTACAATTCTATTTAATAAATGAGAAAATTTAGGTTCAGAGGAATTAGGTAACTCATCTGAGCTAACAGAAGAGACAGACAGTATTTGAACCCAGGCAGACTGACTCCAGAGCTTACATTATTTTCCACTATGTTAATGAAGCCTCCTTTCTCTAGGATGTTTGTCATAGGAAGAGTTAGGATTAAATCTTCCAGACTCAAAAAGGTGTCATTAGGAATCTAAGGAGACTCTAAAAAGACCCTTAAGAGCCTTTTTAGGGCCAAAAGGCAGATGCAGGCAAAATATTCAGAAGAATCCTTCCCCACACCCTGTGGTCTCTCAACAGAGAACAAACTTCCAACCATGAAGCTTCAGTCCTAAGCAGCTACCATGAGAGATTAGGTTATAAACTCAAGCAAAGTATCTTTGGTGGACCCTTTCGCCCTCTTTAAAGAACCCCAAGGGCCAGGACCTCACCAGATAGCCTTCAGCTTCACCTTCCAGTTCTTCCCCAGACTCATTCAGGATTGCAGGAGCTACACCAAAGAATGGGAGGGTCTAGAAGCAAACAGGAGACAGAACCCAAGAAGAGGAATGAGGCAACTCTGACAGCTCCAAAGGAGCCCCAGAGCTCCAACTTCCTCACACACATGCTGTCTAGCTAGGCCAAATACCCAAAGATTCTAGCCCAGGCCCAGTCAGGGAAGCTTCACTCACAGCAGAACCAGGCTTCATGGGTATGGCACCAGGGAGGGGAGTCAGCATGTGGCCACCCTGTCAAAGTCAGAGATCAGAGGTTTGAGTCAGCTTCCCACATTGTTCCTGAGCCCCAGCCTTCCAAACCCCTCACTTACTGTCTCTGTTTGCCAGAAGGTATCCACAATAGGGCAACGCTGGGAACCTACCACCCGGTGGTACCACAGCCAGGCCTCTGGGTTGATGGGTTCACCCACTGTGCCTAACACCTGCAAGGATGCCCGGCTATGCCTTGGGCAGGGAAATGGGAGAAAAGAAGGCTCTGACTACCACTGAGAGCCAGGATATATATGCCCAGGTTCTTCTCTTGCCCCCTCCCCTATTCCAGGTCATGGAGTTGGGACAATGGAAAGGAAGAGAATGTGTACAAAGGCCAGCTCCCAGCTCAAAGGGATATCCATGGGGCAGCAACTGGGGAAGGGGTCTCACTTGCTGACAGGCTCATCTCCAAACTTCATGAGTAGGCGGATGGCTGTGGGCGCTGTGTAGAACTTGGTCACCTTGTATTTGTCCACAATGCTCCATAGGCGGCTCACGTCCGGGTATGTGGGGATCCCCTCAAACTGACGCCAGTGAAGGCTAGTCATTCCCAGTCCTTCCCAGTAATCTCTACACTCCCCTACCATTTTGTCAGTTTCAGTAATTTGCCTTTTCTGACCAATGATGTCTTCACTCCCTGGCCAGACAAGCCAAGAGGCCTTCCTCGTCTGGATACACAACCCCTTAAGGACTTCTCTTTCTCCAGGAAACAGATCATTGTGTAAGTCCCCCTGCCTCTAGACCAAGTAGCCTTGGGAGGTAGTTACCCAGAATAATCTTGTCCAACCCCACTAGGCCATGGGTCTTAGCTCCCTTCTCACCAAAACACTGCTGGCACCATTGGCCAGTGGCCCATAGGTGACGTACGAATGACCTGTGATCCAGCCAATATCCGCTGTGCACCAGAACACATCCTCTGCGTGGAAGTCAAACACATACTTGAAGGTTGTTGCCACATAAAGCATGTATCCCCCAACTGTGTGAACCACACCCTGTGGGAAGAATGGAACCTCAGGTTGGGATCACCCTCACTAACTACCAAATAGAGGCTGGAAAAAGCTAGAGGAAGACACTTCCCAGGGATTCTGGCCCTGCCAGCACCCCTTTCACAGGATCTGTCTATCTTTTATCTCCTTTTCTCCATACTTCCATCTCATCTCCTTTATCACACTCCTGATATCACACATGTGTATTAGTCTATCACTCACACCTATACCCTCAGATGGCATTTTGGAGCCACCCACATCACTCTCACACACGAACACTCCGAGTACACTCATATCTCTTAGTCTCTCTGTTGTGTATTCGTGCCTACACATTCAATTACACATCAGCAGAGTGAATACAGGGGAAAACAATCCCCTTTGCTTACTCCATACCTACTCCAACCCTGGGAAAGAGAAACCAAAACTATGTTTCTAAAGGCCCATTTCTAAAAGTATATGGAGAGAAAAACTTAGGGATGGGGTGAGTAGAAGGTAGAGTGACATAGCTTTCAAGTCAATGGAAGAGTCAGAATTTTCTTAATTATTTCTGGCTCCCACATTGTTCCCTGGCAGAGAACTAGATGTTAATAGTGTGCCATGTAGAAGGAACTGAATTCTAAGAGTTATAGTCTTAGAAGCTCAAGAGGGATCCCTGTACCCCTACCCCTTGGCCTTGAATTGACAAAACAGCCCTTCTTCAACCAAACAGTGTGGGTATGGGAAAAGGACATCCAGGCAAACCACATAGACTGATCCTTTCCCTTTTCTGGGGACCATGAAAGCCCCCATTAGAATTGTCTCATCCTAGGCCTCATCACCTAATGATTGAGCATTTATGTCTGAATTTAATTTAGGAAATGTAATATTACATTTCTGAAATTCAGGGTTGTAGAGAAAATTCATTTCATTACATACTTCCTTAGAAATCCACTTCTCACCCCATACATACGCGCGCTTGCGCGCGCGTGCGCACGCACACACACACACACACACACACAAACACACACACACACACACACACTTGCCTTGGGTTTGCCTGTGGAGCCACTGGTGTACAGGATGAAGAGTGGGTCCTCTGCATCACACCACTCAGGCTCACACTCATCCCCTGCCTCTTGTATGAGTTCATGCCACCACAAGTCAACTCCTTGGTTCCATGAGATCTGCAGGGAGATGAAGACAGGAATGGACAAAAGAACTAAGCAGCTCAAGATGAGGGCAAGAGATGCCCTTACCTGGCACCTGGAGAAAAAGGTAAGAAAGGAAGGTGGGAGTATAGGAAGGGAGAGATGGCCTTCTGAGGGTAGAATTGGGTCGAGAGAACAGGAGTAGAACCCAGGCTTTCTGGGCACTCCCACCACCTTGCCATCTTTCCCCCATCTCTACCCCAGAACTCCCCTCAACTGGCCTCAGACTGAGGAGGAACCTTTGATTGGTCCCTTCCTATCCTTCAATTCTCAGTTGAAATGTTCTTTTTGAAAAGACTTTACTTGAACAGTATCTAATAGATCCCCAACCCCACCCCTGCTATTATTATGGATCATACCACCATGTTTCCCACACAGCACACATTTCCAGTTATTTTATTTAGTTTTTTATTTGATTACTGTCTCCCCACCTAAATAATGACCTCTATGAAGTCAGTGGCATGTCTGTTCCTCCCAACCCTCGCCATATATCCAACACCTGCAAAGTGCTTGGCATCAAAAAGCACTCAGTAAGTTTTTGTTGCATGCATAACAGATCTGCAAACATACATATGGACTTATGGGACTAGTAGCTCATCAACAGGAATGCAAACCCACACAATTCAGAAATGCAAAATTAGTCAGAGCCTGCTGGTGAGGTGGGCACCTGACCCTGTTAGTAGTGAAAGAAATCAACAGATCTTGGTCTAAGCACTTTTTCCTGCATGTCCAGACTTGGTCCACAAATGGAGGCTCCTACCCTAGATCTGTCCCTGCCTTTACATCACTGGTACCAATAGAGTTTCCCATAGAGTCTTTTGCTTGAGGGGACAGATCCCATTCAGCAGAAAGCCTTGATTGCCTTGATTCAAGGTGGTAGAGAAGGACCAAGGTGGGCTTCTCCCAGTAGAGGGATGACCCCTATATCTGAGTGCCTTTAATAATTACTTCTGGGTCTGTCATCCTGAAATTTCTCTAAACTCTCCTTCAAAACTGTTTTGTTTCCTGGTTATTTCCCCTTTTGGCCACTAGGTTTTTTATTCTACTTTCTGCTGGCTAAAGTCAGATCCCCTGAATCTGTCTAAACATTGTGCTGTACTTCAATCCCAGTTCTTCCACTTCCTAGCTATATGACCATGAGCAAGTCACTTTCTCCCAAGTCCTTCTTTTTTTTTTTTTTTGAGTTGGAGTCTCACTCTGTCGCCCAGACTGGAGGGCAGCGGCCGCTCCTGGCCACCGCAGCCTCGACCTGCTGGGCTCCGGGGATCCTTCCACCTCAGCCTTCCGAGTAGCTGGAACTACAGGCGTGCATTACCACGCCCGGCTGATTTTTTGATTTTATTGTGGAGATGAGGTCTCGCCTGCCGGCGGGTCTCGAACCCACGAGCTCAGGCAATCCATTCACCTCAGCCTCCCACAGGCGCGGGATTACAGGCTGAGCCACCGAGCCCGGCTGTCCTTTTTTAAAATGAAGATAGTCATTGGATTGATTGCCCCATGGGGTGGAGGTTGGGGTGGGGTGGGGAAGACTGATGAATGTCAGAAGGGACAGAGGTTAGTTCAGTGATCAGGAGATAAATTTAAGAGTGTGATGATGAGGAACTGTTTGGGGTTTGCTTTAGCTGTCACAAAGTACTTTCATATACATTAGACTTGTATGTTCAATGGCCCTGGCTGGCAGGTATACAATGGTGGTGTAAAAGAAACATCACTCTCCCATTAAAAGGATATATGCTAATTTATTGTGTATATATTTGGTTTTAAAACTCCTGAAGTGTTAGACACATACCTCAATAAATTAGAAAGTGACTCTCTAACCAATCACTTCTTTTTGTACTATCTGCCCCTTATGCCAGAAAATTTGAAGTTTCCAGCATATGAGCATCATAAGAATGACAAGCCTAGAAAAGAAAGAAGAGAGAAAAGCTGCTCACAGTTAGAAAACATACTTTTTTTTTTTGAGTGGAAGATCCATATGAGTCTACACATATTGTCACATGGATACTTTTTTCCTGACAAATGATTACTTGAAGCCGGGCTCGGTGGCTCAGCCTGTAATCCTGTGCCTTTGGGAGGCTGAGGTGAGTGGATTGCCTGAGCCCGTGGGTTCGAGACCTGGCTGGGCAACTTGGCGAGACCTCATCTCTACACTAAATCAAAAAATCAGCCGGGCGTGGTAGCGCATGCCTGTAGTTCCAGCTACTCAGAAGGCTGAGGCGGAAGGATCCCCGGAGCCCAGCAGGTCGAGGCTGCGGTGGCCGGGAGCGGCCACTGCACTCCATTCTGGGCAACAGAATGAGACTCCAACTCAAAAAAAAAAAAAAAAGATTACTTGAGATGCGGGCATTAATGTATTGAAGCTGAAGTGTCAATATTCTGTTTTGGATAAATGGTGCTGGTCTATATATAGCACTGTGAATTGTCGTAAAACAGGCACTAGGGCCCAGTGTGGTGGCTCATGCCTAAAATCCCAGCACTTTGAGAGGCTGAAATGAGAGGATTGCCTGGGCCCACGGGACTAGCCTGGGCAACTTGGCGAGACCGCATCTCTACAATAAATCAAAAAATTAGCTGGGCGTGTTGGCACGTGCCTGTAGTTCCAGCTACTTGAAGGCTGAGGTGGAAGGATCGCCTGAGCCCAGCAGGTTGAGGCTGCAATGTCCAGGTGCATGTCACTGTCCTCCTGCCTGGGCAAGAGAGTGAAACTCCAACTCAAACAAACAAACAAAAACAGGCACTAGGTACACGTAAGGGCAAGGCATAGTTACACTGTAGATCTGCAATGAGGACACTTTTATAGTCTCCTAAAGTATTTCCTTTGTGGGTGTGTAGAGTGAGGAGTGGAGGGAGTAGGGTACTTCAGGCAGAGAGCTGATAACTAGTACTAGGGGCTGGGCTCAGTGGCTCAGCCTGTAATCCCAGCATTTTGGGAGGCCGAGAGGAGTGGATTGCCTGAGCCTGCAGGTTCAAGACCAGCCCGGACAACTTGGCAAGACCTTGTCTCTACAATAAATCAAAAATTAGCCAGGCATGGTAGTGCGTGCCTGTAGTGCCGGCTACTTGGACGGCTCAGGCAGAAGGATCGCAGGAACCCAGCAGGTGGAGGCTGCAGTGGCTGGGAGCATGCCACTGCCCTCCAGCCTGGGTGACAGACTGAAAAAAAATAGTACCAGGAAGTAAAGTGAACTCAATTAGTTGAGCAAACCTTGGTTGTGAATTAGGTGTGTGCCTATGAAGCTCAAGGCTTTGAACCAGAAACATGTTTTAATTTTCTAAAATAAGAATTAAGGAATTGACCTTTGTCCTTGGACCAGGATAGCCTAAGGGAGGACAACTGCCAGGTATAGGAGAGGAAAATGAGGTTGAGAGGACACCTATAGACTGTTCCAGGATCTCCCTTGAAGACTGCTTAAGGATAAAGGGGTTTGGAGCTTTGCCAAGATTTTTGCAGCCTTGACTGCAATTCTCACACCAACAAACCTGTACTTCTTAAGCTTATTTTTTATCTATTTGGTAACTGGTTGTTTTCCCCTCCAAGAAGCAAAAATCCAGAAGCCTATGGCCTGCAAGTCTCTGATATTAATAATGACAAGAGTTTGTTATTTCTTTTCTGGTTTTACTTTTAGAAATGTCAGTCTGTCTGCTATGTTAAGGCGAAGCAAAACCAGCTAATACTTATTGAATAGTTACTATGTGCCAAACACCTTTCATATATTTACAAAACGCTATAAGATAGGTACAGTGATTACCCTTATTTTACAGATGGAGAAACAGGCAAGAAAACTTAAGTAACTTGCCCAAGCTTACACAGTAGCAGGTGGCAGAGCCAGGATTTGAACCAAGCAGTCTGCTTCCAGAGCCTTTAGTCTAAACCACTAAGTTTGATTACTTCTTTCAAAAGAAGGGGCTTAGTCCCCTACCTGAGTTTTAAAAGGAAAGCAGTGTACTCTGGGAGTCAGATCTGTCTCCACCATACTAATGAAAATAAAAAATCAGTCGGGCGTGGTAGCACATGCCTGTAATTCCGGCTACTCGGAAGGCTGAGGCGGAAGGATCGCCGGAGCCCAGCAGGTCGAGGCTGCGGTGGCCGAGAGCGGTCACTGCATTCCAGTCTGGGTGACCAAGTGAGACTCCAACTCAAAAAAAAAAAAAGGAAAGACAAGAAAGAAAGGGACTTATATCTACCTTAGGCTTAGCATATCATAGCATATTTAGAGTAAGATACCCTGTAAGGACTAGTGGGCTTAATGTTTTGTTTTAGTAAGGGAAGCCATTTCAAGGTGATACAGCTAAAAATTGATCTCTGGACTCCAGGTCTGCTCTCTCCTCTTTACTAATCTGCTTTGAGCACTCACAGATCTCTTTTCTTAGAACCACCTGCAATGTGACTTAGCACTTAATCATTTCAGAGAGTTTGTAAATCCCGAAGTAGCATATATACTTAGGAATCTTCTTCTCTGTTGTCCTATATAAAACTCAGATTTTCTTTCTTTTTTTTTTTTTTGAGTAGGAATCTCACTCTGTCACCCAGGCTGGAGTGCAGTGGCACGCTCATGGCCACCACAGCCTCGACCTGCGGGGCTCAGATGATCCTTCCACGTCAGGCTTCCAAGTAGCTGGAACCAAAAGCACGCACCACCATACTCAGCTAATTTTTTGATTTATCGTAGAGATAAAATCTCGCCAAATTGCTCAGGCTGGTCTTGAACCCCTGAACTCAGGCAATCCTCTCACCTCCACCTCCCGAAGTGCTGGGATCATAGGCCTGAGGTACCATGCCCCACGTCAGATGTTCATTTGTTTGTTTTTGTTATTGTTGTTTTGAGTCAGGGTCTTGCTCTTTCGCTCAGGTTGGAGTGCAGCGGTGCATGGTGCAATCATGGTTCATTGCAGCCTTGAACTCCAGAGTTCAAGTAATCCTCCTACCTCACCCTCCCCAACAGTTGGGACTATAGGTATGAGTCACTACACCTGGCTATTTTAATTTGCATGTGTTTGATACTTTTGAAATATATGTATATTTTTTATTTTAAAGATGTGTGGTACAATTCAGGACTAGGTATACAAGTGGTCATCATACACTTGGGCCTCCCTTCACCTGGTTTGAGTTCAGATACTTTATTGATCTTATATGCTCCATTGCTCCCCTGGCAGTGTCCCACTACTGCCAATTCCTTTCTTAAAGTATTATGGTTAATGTTCAGGGTCCACTTATGAGTGAATTTTTTTTTAAGAGACAAGTTCTTGCTACGTTGCCCAAGCTATGTTGCCTCAAGCAATCCTCTTGCCTCCAAAAGTGCTGGGATTATAGGCATGAGCCAACATACCTGGCTGGTTTTCATTTGTAATGCATGGATAACTCCCCAACTTGATGGTGAACTCCCAATGTCAGTGTCCATATCTTCTCTATGTGCCCCTCCTCCTGTCTCTCTTGGCTCTGCCTCAGCTAACTGCATAGTAAATGCTTTCTGACAGGCTACCTGATTCCCTCTCCCACAGAGGTCCTGAGCAGCAGGAACAAATGAGTTCTGTTGCTACCTCTCTGAGATCCATGCTTTATGCCAGTTCACACAGGCAGCAATAAGCCTTTTATTTCACAACTCATCAGAGTGGCTTAGATGGCAAGGGACCCAGGGGCAAGGGAAGACTCTGGCAGCCATCTCAATGGGGCAAACAGGCAAACAGCAGACGGACACAGAGATAAACACACAGGGAAGCAGTGCCCGAGGCAGTGCAGGAGTAGATACCTGGGGTCGGACATGCTTGGATGTCTCTTTCCGTTTACCCTGTTAAAAGTCCAGGGTGGAAAGGCTAGTGAGCAGGATCCAAGTATACAGGAAGTGGCAAGGAAGAGGCAAAGTGTCCCAGACCACAAACCCCTCTACTGGTCCTCCCAGCCTCCATTTTCCTCATACTGATGCTAGCCCCTATACATGTAAAATCCCTAGTGACAATTGGGCTCTCCAGCTTCCCTAAACTAGACTATAGTATTTCTAGCCCTAAGACTACTCAGGGTACATCAAGTCACAGAATCTCAGTAATTGCCTTTTTTGGACCCCAGAAATTTCATCCCTCATGCTTCTCAAACCTGAAGGCTACCATCAGGCTTTTCTACCATTCCCACCAGAAGCACTGAATCCAAAGCGAAAAAGGGCAGAACCTTGAGGGCTCGACCCTTTGTCCTTCCATAATGGACATCCCCTAGGCCACAAAGTCACAGCCCAGTGATCAAGATGACTATATACAGTCACTCAAATCAGGCATTTCTAACTCAAACCTAAGCCCTGAAGGTCTCCTGTGCTCATAAGGAGTCTCCTTTACTCTCTCTCTCATGCTAAATTGCGGAGTCCTGGGGCCTCTCTACCACATTCAAGGTCAAAGTCTTTCAGCTCCCACCCAGCCCAGAGGAAGCATTCCTAAAATTGCCCCCAGATCCTCAACATTATGATGAAGAAGCAAAAGAGACATCAGGAACTTCCTAGGAAAGAAGAGAGAGGCTATTTGAGCCCAGAAGAAGGCATAGCAGTGCCAGACTCACCTGCACATCTGGGCATGGCCTCTTAATTGGGGGAGACTGGGTGGGAGAGTCACCCATGCCCAGTTCTGCCCGGCCCAGGTGCTTGACCACAATGCAGCATCTCACTGGGAAACCCCTAGAGGAAAGAAAACCCTAAGGTGGTAGCCTGGTTGGCTCAAAGAGAATTTGGCATGACCCACCCATGTTCATATAGGGTAGGGAGGGACAAAGGGAAACTGGCACAGAGATAAGGCTCAGTCAGCTGAAGCAGTAGCCAACTGGCCAAGCGCACTTACTTTTCCTGACACTTCTCCAGGGCTTCGTCAGCCAGCTCCTTCAAGTTCACAAGCTTTTCCCCCCTGTAGAAGGCATCTTTGGGGAGCAACAGATATTCCAGGCCTTAGTAGGTGCCATAATCCCTAATGGGACAATGTTCACAGAGTCCTTCCTGGGAGACTCTGGCTCTTGCAGCTGATTTGAGCTGACAGGGTCAGCTGAGGTGGGACTGGGAGAGGAAGGGCAGTCAGTCCCTGCACTCTATGCTGAGCAGCCCAAATACGGGGCTGATTGGACACCAAGGCTTGAGGAATGGGGGCTTCTGGAAAAGGGGCGAGAGCATTAGTCACCTGTAGTGATGAGAAGGCTGCAACTGGAATCCAGAATCCGTTCACACAGAGACTCAGCAGAGAAGCCTGCAAACTAGGGAAAGGAAGAAAAACTGAGGGAAAGGCCCAAGGGACTGAATAAACAAGGAAAGGAGTTGTTCATGAAACCTTCATGATCTCCAAGTCAGGGTCCTAAAAGAAACTAAATAACTGATATGAACCTATGACACACACATTCTAAGCTCCTTAGTTTGTTATCTAAGATCTTACATCACCAAGACCCAACCCACTTCTCCAGATTCCCATCCCCACCCCTACCCCTCTTTTACCAGCCCAAACTCCTACCACAATGGAGTGCAAAGCCCCAAGGCGAGCACACGCCAGCATGGCCACCACAAGCTCTGGGATCATAGGCATGTAAATGGCCACTCGGTCACCCTTCTGAATGCCTGCAGGTAAAAGACACAGAACATGGACCATGAACCTTTCCTGCGGCTACTTGTTCCCTCCTATCCAGCTGGCCCCCCTCCAAGCTGACCTTTTCTCTTCCTCTGTTACCAGATTCCTTCTGTCCCTTGGCCTCTCTCCATAAGTCCTCAAATTCCCCAGGATCAGGCCCACCAGTCCCTTTCCCACAATCCCACACTCACCCTGTTTTCGGAGAACATTGCTGAACTGACACACTTGGGCCAGAAGCTCATGGTATGTGATCTGGGTAGTCTCCCCTGGCTCATTGCCCTCCCTGAGATATACCAGAAAGAACCAGTGATTAGGGGCACAACTTCTTTCCCAAACAAGAAGCAGGAACAGTCATAAAATCAATCTAGTAACACCAAGGTCTAATAACTCCTATGCTATGAGGGAGAGCCATCTGCCACCACACCTTGAGCTGATTGACCAGATACTTAGGTCTTTCAAGATACTTTATATACATATATTGGAAAATGCATTATTCACCTCTGATCCTTGTTTTTTTATGTTGATAAAGTGGGTTGATGGTATTTTCTCTTCCATCCTAGGGATATTTTAAGGAGAAATTATACCATAGATGTGACTCTTCCTGATGAAGTATCAAGACTGCATTGGTATTACTCAGAGTCGGGTCTCCAGATCATTTGCACCCAAATTATCTAGGGAATGTATTAAAATGTAGATTTCTGGGCCCTAACTCAGACCTACTGAATCAGAATCATATGGCTTAAGAATCTGCTTCTTTTTTTTTTGAGTTGGAGTCTCACTCTGTCGCCCAGACTGGAGTGCAGTGGCCGCTCCCAGCCACCGCAGCCTCAACCTGCTGGGCTCCGGCGATCCTTCCGCCTCTGCCTTCCGAGTAGCCGGAATTACAGGCATGCGCTACCACGCCCGGCTGATTTTTTTTTTGGATTTATTGTAGAGATGAGGTCTCGCTGCCCAGGCGGGTCTCGAACCCACGGGCTCAGGCTCTCCTCAGCCTCTCAAAGGCGCGGGATTACAGGCTAAGCCACAGAGCCCGGCTTTGTTTCTTTTTTTATAAGCTAATACAAAGAATCAGTAGGTAATTCTGATGCACATTTAAAGTTTGAAAATCACCATCCTCTATCAGGTGATTTCTGTCTAACTCCTCAGCCTTGCCTCCCATTTTTCCCTAGGCTTTAACCTGGTTTTCTTCAGTCATTCCTTTATTTGTTCATTTTCTTATTCAACAACTACTATGTGTTATATATGTGCATAGAATTAAGGCACGCAAGACCTCTAGCATCATGGAATATATAGAGAGTTAGGTTCTCACTCTATTGCCCAGGCTGAAGTGCAGTGGCATGATCATGGCTCACCTCAGCCTTGACCTTCTGGGCCCAGGCCATTCTTCCACCTCAGCCTCCCCAGTAGCTGGGACTAAAGGCACGTACTACCATGCCCAGCTAATTTTTTTTTATTTTTTGTAGAAATGAGGTCTCTTTATGTTACCCAGGTTAGTCTTGAGCTATTGGGCTCAAGCAATCCTCCTGCCTCTACCTCCCAAACAGCTGGGATTATAGGTGTGAGTCACCATGGCCAACCACTGTGCCTGGTCATTAGAGCTTATATTCCAATGATAGTTCAGGTAATATACAAGTAACAAATATGACCAAGATTAATTTCATATAATGGTAAAGGAAATAAGGCAGAATGATATAATAATGAGTAACCGGGAGAAATATTTTTAAAACATATACTATCTTAAGTAACTATAATGATTGTATGCAAAGATTTAGCTATAAGAATGTTTACCTCAGTGTTTTTTCTAATTGCGTGATTTTTTAAATAAATAATACAAGTGGCACTGCATAAAAAATATGAATGAGAAGTGTTCCTCCCACCCCATCTCTCAAGTACCCTGCCTATTAGCAAACTGCTGCTACCAATATTTTGTGCAACTTTCCAGAAACAATAAATATGCAGACAGGGCCACACCTAGTAAGATAGAGGGTCTAGGGCAACTCAACTAGTGTGGAGTGTCCAAGATAATCACGCTAGAAAATGTCTGCACCATTAGGATCTTTCATAAGACTCTTGAGATATCATTGGAGTCTGAAATTTAAAAACTAAATTTTTAAAAAGCGGATTTTAATGCTATTCAGAAAAGTGACAAGCACCTCACAGTCCCCAGTCAAGTTCAAGGCAGCAGAGTGGGAAGAAAAGCTCTACTTAAGGAACAGGCCTATTAGGTAAGCATATACGCTACATATATTTATGTGTATATATTCTCATTTTTTTACAAAAATGATGGCACACTACACACTATTCTGTATCTTGCTTTTTAAATTTAGTATTATATTCATTCAATAAACTGCTCAAATATTAAATGTAGAGCTCAATCATCTTATTTTTCAAATTTAGCAATATACCTTGATATCATTCTTCAAGACTTCAAGAGCTGTTTCATTCTCTTTGTCAGCTGCATAATATTCCACTGTTTGTATGTACCATAATTTACTTTAAAAATAAATGCTTTAATGAATATCTTTATTCATATGTCATCTTACTCACTTGCAAATGTATCTGTAGAATGAAATACTAGAAGTGGAACTATTGAGTCAAAAGATATGCACTTTTTTTTTTTTTTTTTTGAGTTGGAGTCTCACTCCGTTGCCCAGACTGGAATGCAGTGGCCACTCCCGGCCACCACAGCCTCTATCTGCTGGGCTCTGGTGATCTTTCCGCCTCAGCCTTCCAAGTAGCTGGAACTACAGGCACGTGCTACCACACCCGGCTAATTTTTTGATTTATTATAGAGATGAGGTCTCACCAAGTTATGCACATTTTAAACATTGATAAGTATAGCCAGGCTTGGGACACGTCTGTAGTCCCAGCTACTCGGGAGTTTGAAGCAGAAGAATTGCCTGAGCCCAGGAAATCAAGACTTCGATGAGCCATGATTGTGCCACTGAACTGTAGCCTGGGCAGTAAAGTGAGATCCTGACTCAAAAAAATAAAATATTGATAAATATTAGGGAATAACTACTTTAGATAAGTAGTGGTCCTAGAAAGCCTCTCCCCAGGGGAGATGATGTTTGAGCTAAGAGCTGAATAATAAGTAGGCCACCATATTAGTTCTTGGGAAGAGTATTCTGGGCAGGGGGAACATCAGTGGAAAGGCAGTGAGACCCATTCAAAGAACAGAAAGAGAGCCAGAATGGCTAGAGTACAGTGAGCTACTCAAAATACTCTTTTTCCTTCTTCAGACACCAGCACTATGTAGTCCTTCCTTAGCACTAAAGGGCATTGCTTTCCCTTTCCTTTTTTACTACACAGAGTACTTATGAAGGAGGTAACTAAAACCTTGAGCGATATAATAGCTTGTAGTAACAAGGTCACAAAATAATAAGTGACAGAGCCAAGAATAGATCCTTAGGTCTTCTGATTTCAAGTCAGGACTCTTTCTCTCTTAGTGTGAAGGACAGAGACTGTCAGGGAAGCCAGGCCTTTTCTTACTAATGGAGGTTACACAGAAGATTATCAACCTCTTTCCAGTTCCTGTCTTGATGAGTCAGTACTATCCTCTCCTTGTCTTTAACCCTCCTGGGGATAAGAGAAGCCAAGCACATACAGCATACTAAAGTGAGAAGGAACAGTGAGAGAGGAAACTGGTGAAAGGAAAGACTGAGAGTGGGAAGCCATTTTTTATCTTGTTCTTAAACCCTGACACGATGATGAAGAATTAGAAACTACTTCTTATCTAGAGAAATCAATTTTTTAAATCTTGTTTTTAAACCCTAACACAATGATGGGAAAGTAGAAGCTATGTCCTGGAGAAATTCATATTCTAGGTAAAGATTAACTTTGCCGACTTTCTTTTCAGAAGCACAGACTCCTTACTTTTCAGAAACACAGATTCCTTAAGCATGGACCGGTACTGGCCTACTGCAATTTGTCTTTTTAGAAACCCAGACTTCTCAAGCATGATCAGTATCGGCCCATTGTATACTCAGTGCATGGTGACCAGGACCAGCCCCCACCCCAGGGTCTCCAAGACATTCACAGGTAGTCAACAAGGAAGTCACGTCTATCTGATTGTAATACCTCCTGGGGAAAGGATTTAAGCCGGGGTTCAGGGGACTGTGGGGCCACACTCATCTAGAGTGCCAGCCCTCTTCCTGTCTGTGGGAAGTGATCTCTTTCTTAAATAATTCGTTTCCTCTTTCACCTCTTTATGTGTTGCAAATCTTCGTATTACTCAGATCTCTGGTTGCCAGTGTGCAACTCTGGCACGCCAGTTCTGGCAGTGCTGCGTCCCTCTGCATCTATCCATCCACCCTCACCCTCTCTGTACCGTAACAGCTGGCAAATGGCCCTGAATGCCAGGAGTAGAAAAGTCATTTCCTTAACTAGTTCACTGACGAGTGAACAGGAACTTCAGAAAATCTCAGTTATGGATGAATGCCAACAATATACATACCCATACATACATGTCCCCACATTCATACTACATACCGTTTCACCTATGTGCACTCACTTGTGTAGAGTTACATATACTAATATAGAAACATTCTAGGCATAAAAGCTGCCCATCTGCACACATAAGCACAAATAAGCATAGATATATACACCCAGAACTCAAACATGGCCCATCTGCAAGTACATGTACCACATATGCATACCCACCTCTGTGCACAGCTTGCCCTTACAGTAAATCTCTATCAAATCATTGTTTTATTTTTTCATGAAACTTCCCATTATTTAAATTATCTCATGTATTTTATTTACTCATATATTATCCATGTTCTTCACTGGAATATAAGCTCCACAATAGCAGGGATCTTATCTGTCTTGTTCACTGTTACTAGCACCTGGAATAGAGCCTAGTACCTAGAAGGTACACAGGAACAGATAAACACAACCTACACAAGTACAGCTTACTTGAGTCCACTTCCAGCCTTGCCACACACACACATACTCACAGTGTGCATTCCTCTCCCTGGCTGTGGGCTCAAGTTATACATTATTGATATAGGCACCTTACTCATTCCAGTGTCTTCTTTCTCTGACATATACACCAGGTTGGGGCCCCTGGCCAGTTGGGAGAGGTGAGGGGGCAGGGTACTTGCTTACTGTAAAATCCCAAGTCCTTTAGGATGTTAGATCTCTTAAAAGAATATCTAATTTAGTCTCCTAAATCCAAAGAGATCCAAAGAGGTTATTAGCTATACTTGGGGTCGCAGGGTGAGTTGAAGCAGAGTAGGGACCAGAATTCAGGGTCCAGGTCTCTTTCCTCTACACCAGGAA